TTGGTTTAAACAAACTCTTGCATTTTGTTTATGCTAGCTTGGACTATCATTCTCTGAATTATATTTAACTTGTAGCTTGGATAACAGAACAATATTGCTAGGGGCAGATTATGTACTGAAGTGGGTCTTGCTAAATTTTTGTTAGTGCTAGCCTAAAGCTGCTATCCTCCAGATCTCTTCCTCCCAAGTAGCTGCATTAATGTGATACTCTAACAAGCAAGTTTATGGTGTCTATAATGGGAAGCATGGTTATGTAGGGAAGTTGCTGTTGATTTAGTACCTAGTAATCAAAGCCTTATATCCTAGGAGAGAAACAAATAACAAACCTGATTCCTCTTTTGGTACTCTGGTGGAATAGTGGAATTTGAGGCCTCAATTTCAGATTTGCATTTGGAAGTCTAGTAATATCAACAAAATATTTTCTGTTCCTATTGTTTTCATAAATTTCCAGCCATATCTTTGATAAATCCAGTGGTCTCTTCTGTGAGATTATTTTCATATAAAGATTAACACTTTTTTATTCATAATAACACTTGTACAAGAAATAAAAATTTTCATGAAAATCACTTATGTAAACTTAGAAATTTATTTTTAATATGAGATTAAGCAGACCACTCACAAGCTTTGATGTTTAAAAACAGAAAACATAAATTCCCAACTACTATAAACATGCATGGGAATTACTTTTTATCTCCTTGATTATTCATGGTAAATTTCAAAAATAAAGCAAATGTAATGGTGAAAATAAATATCCAACATTCCTAGGAAAGCTGTGATGCATTCTGCTCATTTGTTCATAAACTGTGTGGGTTCAACAACAGAAATTTATTAGCTCCTAAGACCAGAAGGCTGGAACTGAGACAGTTGCAATGCGGTATTCTCCCTGCAAATGCTAAGGAACTATTCTCAGTAGTTTTCCCATGACTTTTAGTAACTTTTTGGTAGTTCCTTCTGGCTTTTAAGTTATACATATAACATGCTAAGACATATCTATGTCTTCCTCTTGAATTCTCCTTGTGCATGTGTTTGTGTGAGTATGTATGTGTCATTTGCAAGAATTTCTTTCTTACAATTCCCCATGCTTAAAAGAATCAAAGTTATATTAAAACTATACTAGTACAACCTCTTACTACCTCCTTATATGTGCAACATACTGTATCCAAAGATTGAATTCCAGGGAGCTTCCACATGGTAGGAGTTAGAATGTGAATTGTGAGTGGAAACTATTCCATAATACAAAAGTTTTGATAATATCTCTTTAAATTATTTATTTACTAGATTTGTTGTTGTGGTTGAGCACTGTAGCAGAATGCTAGAGACTGAATGGCTTAAGCAACCAATATTATTGAAAACAGATCTGGAGAATATTAACTTCAAGGTCAAAGTAGCAGCACATTCAGCTTCTTTAAGTGGCCCATACCTCCTGTTTCATGGAAGCTCATCATCTTACTCATCTCCTAGAAGACCCTTAAGGACCAAACACTATACAAACATCCCAAATCATCAAACTGGGCTTTAGGATTTCAACATTTTTAAGAGACATAACTTCCTCTAGAGAAATAATGACTAACAATAGACCTTCTCGCAGCCTAAAAGAAGTTCTGCAAATACTATTTTGTATTATATTTTTTCTTAATTTCTAGTTCAAATAAGCAAGAAATTAAGAAATTATTGTATTTCCCATTTGTGCTGAAGAGACCTTTTTTTTTTTTTTTTTAACCCCAGTCCCTGATTTGGATGTTGTATTCTATAACAGGCTGAATTTTTGTTAGGTCATGCTGTTGCCACATCTGACCTCCCTATAACCTGCAATCTGTTACACTCAGAAGTGTATTCTGAAGCCTTCAGACTCCAGCAGAGTATAGTGCAAGAGGTAATTTGCTGCTCTTTGTTTGACATGCAAATAGAATTTACGAATCCCTGTGAGATACACTATTCAGAGTCATGGGTAGGTAGCTGTTAACAACCATACATTAGGACCAGGATGGAGTGTTATCTTTTTTTTCTCTGTTCTGTTCCCTTCTCTTTTACTCCTCACAGAACATTTACTTGCTCGACCAGCATGTTATGCTTTTCTTAATTTTGTCTGTGTCTCAGTCGTCAGCTCACTGCCATTGTCTGTGTGCATTCCTATCCCCTCTTAGCAAGACCAGGATTTGATAGACATCTCATTCCACCCCTAACAGCTCTTAGGTCATGCCGAAATCCAGCCCATCACAGCAAATGAAGTGTGTTCTTATAATGTACTTTTCTCGGACTTTTCCACATAATGGTTTTCCAAGTCCTCCTTCTTATACATTAAAAACTACTTTGATTTAAATCAGTATTTCAGGGCTAAAGCTTGTTAAAAGTTGTCTGTTTAGTTTTTATTGTTTCTGTAACACAAATGCCTGAAATAAAGAACTACTGGAGCACATCTTCCTTTGGATCAGGTATCTCTTGGTTTCAGGTATTTTCAGCCAGCATCTGCTGGTTCTGTGGCTCTTAGCCTGCATAAGGCAAAAGAGGCTTAGTCAGCAGTGTAGTGAAGCACAGTTTGTCAACCTCACGAGGAAAGAAAGCAGAAAGATAAACAGGAAGGGATCAGGTCAGGACCTTCGAAGTCATGAAATAAAATGCAGTGGCATGGTCTGGCCTGTCTTCTGGTACTTCACTGGTCTGTGAACTCATGAATGGACCATTAGCACATGCCAGAACCAATCATCTCTCAATGATTGGATTTTCCTTCTAAAGACCAGGATTTTGAGCAAAGAGTATTCGGAAAGTTTATTTTCTATACAAATCACAACCAATTGGTTGAATGCACCAGGCAATATTGGAGACACAGTCTGTAATATTCTGTAATTACAATAACCATAATTATTAATAGACCAGAAAATCTATATTTAAACATTTCTCACAAGCTAAGGTGGAAATTGATTTAACCACACCAGAAAGTTTGGAAAAAAATTTGATAGATAGTAGGTCTGAAGGAGTATCACACATATATTTCTAATATTTTAAATTTTGAGATCATCGTAGATTCTACTTGTATTTGTGGGAAAAGAAACGTGAAGCAAAATGAATATTTAATTTCATTCCAGTGGAAATACCTTTAAAAAATTTAACAAGCATATTGAATGGCATACAAAACCAATGTCATGTAGACTTTGTTTTGATTGTATAAATTTATGTGAGGTCATATACTTCCATTTCATCTATGTTTAATCCCACCTCCACCACAGTTATCAAAATCTTGAAGTTCACATAACAATAATCTCACTTGTTGTTTCTAACCACTTCTGTCCAGTCCCTGTACCCAGACCTAATGATGAATAGCTCACTGATTTCTACCTAAATGAAATCATGCAACATAAATCTTACAATATTGGTTTAAGAAACTTACTATGATAATCTGAAGATTTACCCAAAATTTGGATATAATTCTTTACAGAGAATGCAACAGAATTTTGTCTCAAACAGAGATACTGATTTTTGTCTTGATTTTTTTTTTGGAGGGGAGAATTATAAACAAAGCTTCCATGAGTATTTGTAAACAAGTTTTTATGTGAATGCAGGTTTGATTTCTTTGATATAAATACTCAGCAAAATTTCTGTCTTATTGCTTGTTTTGATTTTCAAATTCAGTGTATACATAACTCAATTTCCCCACATTTTTACTTTTAATGTATCAGTATATCATTTTATTATTCTATAATGTATAATAACTTTCATAAATAACACAATATTTTTCATCTTTCTAGAGATAATTGAAAATATTTGCTTTTAGAATCTGAGTTAAAACATATTTAGAAGCCAGAACCAATAATAGTTAGAAATTCAAGTAGATGCTAGAAAGGATTGTCTTTTGAATTGATCTTAGATTTTTTAAAAATCTTTGGAAATTCCTTGATGATATAGACAAAGCCTTCCTTAAGGTTGCATATTAATTTTAACACAGATGTTCAGAATCTATAACTAAACAGAAACCCTAAACATTGTTAAAATTCAAATTTGAAAATTGTCTGTGGTTCTATACTCCAGTTTAAAAAATGGCTACGATGTTTCATATACAAGCACTTGATTGTAAAAATATTTTTGTTAGATACGTATCTCAGAATTTTCTAGCTATTCACTACTAATCATTAGAGCATAAAGCACATTTCATCAATAATTGAGAACTCTTATCCACTAAGTATTCAATACAGTTGCAAAGCTCTTAATTGAGCAGCATAATTTTACCTTGAAACCAGTTTTCATTAAGTAGTATGTGAAATACAATATAGTGTATTTAATTGTGCAACCTGTGTAACAAATATAAGCACTTTAGGTATATTTTCATGGCTAAATATCTATAAATTTATAAATTGTTTTATAGTTCATCTTTATGTTAAAATATCTATGGCTGTCAACAAATATGGACCCTTTCTTTAGAAAGGAAATTGTGTCTGTTATGGGGAGAAGCCACAAAAAGAGATTTCTGCATAGGAGACTAATTCTGACACTCATTAGCACTCCAGGCAAGAAGTAGCAATACCACAAAGGTGGAAAGGGATTTGGATGTGCTATTTTGTTGTCACTGATAATTGAATGTCAGCTCACTCATCGCCTCACCTTAATCACATTCCCGTCCATCTCCAGTTTCCTAATAGTTCTGAAGCATGCAGCACACACTCACTGTGCCCTTTATTGAACCACGGGTAACAACAATCTGATTTATGAAGATCAGACCAAGGCTACTCTGGTTCTCTCATGGTCAAAAAAGCCCTTTCATGGCAATTTCATTACACAGTCACATTAAAGTAGATCAGAATCAATGCCCTGTGTTCTATTCTTTCGGGCCATTGAAGCCAGGGCATGAAAGTAAGTGGTATGTGTAATACACAAATGTGATTTAAATTTAATTGAATTCGGTAGCATTCTAGCTTCCCATAGATATTTAAGCATACCTGTTTCTGTATTCAAATTAGCTATGCACTAAATGCCATTGTGCACTAAAATTTGTTTTCCTGAATGCACAGGTACCTCTGTTCTACAGGTGGCAGCTACTGACGCGGATGACCCAACCTATGGAAACAGTGCCCGCGTGGTGTACAGCATTCTCCAGGGACAACCTTACTTCTCTGTAGATCCCAAAACAGGTCAGTGTATTTATGGATAACTTTCTGCAAGTATTTCTGGCAATAAAATCTGTTGTTTCTATGTGCATTAGATCCTCATTAGATATTGTCATTTAGGACCTTTAGATTTATACTTAAACTGGTGTATTGGGACAATCATTAATCCCTGCTATGTAGAAGGCAGATATCTGCAGGTTCATTATTTGAAACTAGCACAAGGACAATTTTAGACACTCAGTATCAGCAAATAAGTCAGATATGGTGGTGTATGATGTAAATATCAACTAAAAGGAAGCATCGTGTTCTCTAAGGAACTGTTTATTTATGCTTCCAGTTTGCAAGTCATTTTCCAATTTTCTTCAAAAGGACATCAATCTAGCTAAAATAATTTAATTTCATAAGCCCTTTCTCAATACCTTAATATTAGTGCTTTGCATTTGCTGTTTTCCATTAGTGTTTTTCATTATTATCTTGTTGCAAGAGAACTTGTCTGTGTTATATACTTTCTCTCTTTCCTCAATGTATTTTAAAACAAGAGTTAATTTCCAGGAATAGATTCCAAATACATTGCTAAACACTTTCCATGATGAAACTAACTCTACAGGAAAGAACTCATACAGGTGCAGTTGTAGAGGAAAGATTATACATATAGATTTTAGTTATGTACTACATCATCTTAATCATAGAACACAATGTAATATATCATTAAAGTAAAGTAGACCTTTCAAGGTATTAAAATATAAAATGTGAGAATCTGTAACATGAAAATTTTGTTCCTCTCAATATTTTGCTAAGTAATTAGAAAAGCATCCTTGTTAACCTAGAAACCAAAATGGTATAGGAAAAGTGTCTACACATGTTTGTACACATTCATAGCCAGGTGAAAGAGGTTAGAAATATTTAGAAAGCTTAAAGTCTTCAGTTGATATTGTTTATCAACTATATCTTATATATCCACAGACACCAGTTTGTGTAAAATTTTAGAGAATGTATTTTCATCTTGAATATATATCTACCTAGAGCAAACACAGAATGGGAGTAAAGGTACACATTGCCATGTTTAGTAAGTATAATACACACAGTCAGATGCACACACAGATTGTGTTAAACCATTAATCATCCCCTTACAAAGACACATATTCATTAACATAAAAAGGGGCCAGATTCACTTATTAGATGGTTGCTACAATGAAGATATCTTGAGTGGAATATGTGCTTACCTTCTATTCTCCTCGTGAATATTAATGTTCAATAAAGTCATATGAATTTTATATTTTCCTGTTTTTGTGGCACATACATATGTATGTGATTTCAGATATGGACAACATAGGCATCCAAGGAAAGGTCCTGGCTAGGATTGGACAGGGCTATCGTCTGTTTTAACTGAAGTAAACATATCAACCAATTCTGAGTAAATTTTTCATATATATATATATATATATATATATATATATGTAAGCATGGATAAAGTAAATACCTCATTAATCAACATGAGAGTTTATCCCAAACATAGGATACTATATAAATTCTGATGCATACAATTTTGTTTTCTCCTTTTTTCAAGTGAGAATTTGTAGCAAATGAATGGAAACCTCTCTATTAACTTGTTTCCTACCAGTATTAAATTGTTGTCCTGGCTAATGTATCATGAGGGCCTATTGATAAATGTCTAACTACTGAGTCCTGAATGGAACTAAGTATTTTAAAAGAAAGTTCAAAATGCAAATGTGTTCATTACAAAGTTGTTTTAGAAAGTGTTAAGAAGGGTTATAAAATAAAATACTAATTACTCTCTTGAAAATTAAGACTATTTATTGGCAATTTGTGTTTAAAGTGCTATTACTATGCAATTAATCATCAGAAGTAAAGAATTTAATCCACTCTGTGTTTGAAAGTCACTAGGATATAATCCAAACCATCATAGTGAAAATGAAAGAGTCCATTGTTCTGAATGAAATGTTGCATGAAAAGGATTGGAAGAGTAATCATTTATAAATATGTATTTTTCTAGCATGACTTAATTTTGTCATACTTATTGGAGGAACTCTATCTCAAAATGTTTCTGATTACTTTTACTGAATACAGTGATAATAATTACTACTTTTTATCCCCAAATAAATTAAGAGGTGTGTATTTATGATTATGATCAGTATTTGGATTGCCTTGTTTCTGATAAATGAAAAAGTACACTTTGGTATGGGCCATGATGTTCTAATTATCAGCTTCCAAAGAAACTGTGTCTCTGGGTTGTATGAATCATATGAGAACTGCAATTTCAAAATAATTAAATTAGGTAATCCTTGAATTATCATACTTCATAGAATTGATTTAATAATATCTGACTTACTCTATATCAAAGCCTCATTAATCAGTAGACTAAAACACAAGTGTTGTTTCCCATTCTAAGTAAATTGGTGAGATAAATATGACATGGGATAGCTTATAAAGTACCCACAAATAAAACATTATTTGAAAACTCCCCACCTCTTGAGATGTCCAGAGGACCATGGCAATTAAATAAGAGAGGCCCACTTTTGCTCGCTCTATTCATGTTCTATTCATATTCTATTCAAAGAACACTTTTTGTGAAATAGATAAGTAAGGAAAGTTTTTTTTACCATTTATGAAAACAGAAATCTGCACAAGTTTATGAGGAAATATGCTAAATGAGAATGTCTTAAGCAATGAAAGAAAAGGAGAAAACTCTGCGGAGTGTTTATCATCAGAGCTCAAACACCAGTCCTGGGCTCTGTGTATTTAGCATCAACATCATTCAATTTAAATAAGTTTGTTCAAGATTTCCATGTCTCTTTGCAAATTATACAATTTCTGACAGGTGTTGACAGCAGCAGGTAAATTGTGGTCAAACAACTGTACATCTAAAGTGTCTTCAGGAACAAACCGGAAAGATTACCTATAATGCTGGTGTGTAGCTTTTACCTGCAAATGAAAGTCTGTTTGAAAGTCATTACTTTGATATCATTTGGTATTCTCTTTACTAGCCTTTTTATACTCAATAGCTTAGGAAATATTTCATGTTATTTTCTGCTAAAACATGAAAGTTATATTTGCGTCCATTTCACACAGCGTATTCTATCCTCCTGATGTTCAATCAAAGGAAAATTGAATACTTGATGAAAGCCTGATCCTAAGAAGAGAAGACTTTATTGGTTTATAAATCCAGAAGTGTATTTTACTTATTTTGTTTACAATGTGAACCATGGTGATTATTATGAACGAAAATAAACTTTAAGAATTCATGGGGCTGGGAGGGTGGCTGAGTGGGAGAGCGCTTGCCTTGCATGCATGAGGTCCTGGGTTCAATTACTCAGCACCCCATAAGCAAAAAGAAAAAAGCCGGAAGTGGTGCTGTGGCTCAAGTGGTAGAGCACTAGCCTTGAGCTGAAGAGCTGAGGGACAGCGCCCAGGCCCAGAGTTCAGGCACCATGACTGGATCCCCCCCCCCCCCAAAAAAAAAGAAAAAGAAATCATGTGTGTAAACTATGGAAAATCAATAAAGTTGTCCACATTTTTTTTTTTTCTCTTTTGGTCGGTCATGGTGCTTGAACTCTGGGTCTGAGCGCTGTCCCTCAGCTCTTCAACTCAAGGCGAGCGCTCTACCACTTGAGTTACAGAACCACTTCCGGTTTTCTGGTGGTTTAATGGAGAAAAGAGTTTCACTGACTTCCCTGCCCTGGCTGGCTTTGAACAGCTATCCTCAGATCTCAGCCTCCTGAGTAGCTAGGATTACAAGCGTGAGCCACCGGCGCCCGACATATTTTTTAATCTGTTATGTGGCCTGGGCGCTGTCCCTGAGCCCTTTTGCTCAAGGCTAGCACTCTACCACTTTGTGCCACAGCACCACCTCTGGTTTTCAGGTGGTTTATTGGAGACAAGAGTCTCACGGATTTTCTTGCCTGGTCTGGCTTGAACCAGGATCCTCAGATCTCAGCCTCTAGAGTAGCTAGGATTATAGGCATGAGTCACCACCTTTAGCAGCCTGCTTTCCACATATTTTTATAAAAGTTATTGGCACATGCCTAACCAGTGACTAATTTACTCTGTTTTACACATTTATATTTTGAATTTATTCCTCATTTCCACATCGTCTTTATAAATATTTTACTCGTTAGTGTATGAGTTTTTATTGGAAACAAATCTACTGTAGAGTGTGTGATAAATATTGTATTTACTTTTTAGGTGCAGAAATGTTTAACCTCATAATGCTAACTTTTAATGATATACACAAGAAACCACTTTCCAAGCATATCTGAGCAGCTCAAGGGCTTTGGTCACACATTTTAAAAGACATTAACCTTCACATCTTCGTGTCAGTAAAACCTTTTTGTATTTGTAACACCCACTAAGAGGAACTGGAGAAGTACCCACAAACATCAGGCTCCACCCGTGCTGAAGATCGGCAGCCCCGAAATACAAGTCCTAGGAATTATTTTGGTGTGTCATCATGAGGAAATAAAGGAAATGTGTACTAGACTTTTTACCAAAAGATTAGTAAACTAGGTTTATGTGATATTAATTCACAAAAAATACTTAGCAAAGCATTAATACATAGAGTGTATTTTGATCATTCTGTACAGCCAAACAATTGGGGATGCTTCATGTTAAAATCTAGAATAAAAAGTCTCTTGAAAAATAGAACAAATTATTCAAAATGTGGCTTCCTGTTTTCCACGTATATAAATTTAGAATGAAAATGACTAAGTTATGAGAAAAATTAGTGCAGTGCTGATAACAAAGTTAGACTTTTGGGAAATTTCTTGGTCTCTACTTTCTTTATGATTAATAATTTCCTAAATAGACTAACAGTGGTTCATTATAAAATCTGAAATACAAAAGAAAAAAGGAAAAGAAATATTTATATTTAGAAGAAGTTTTGAGTCCAAACTTACTGTACCATAATTTATATCTTCGCTTAATATCCTAGGAAACATAGTAGCTGCTTGATAATTAATTACTGAATATTGAATTGATGACTGGCAGAAAGTATTACAGGTACCCTT